TAGGTCTTGTCTTGTATCTATTCAGTAGAATTGTGTGATTGTTCTTTCTGTTTTTGATTGCTTTTAGGGGTTGCCTCTGGTTGGTCGGTTGTAACGTGCCTAGGATGCCTATTGGTGTTCTAGGTCTGATGAATGGGAGTGTGGGTGGCACGTACAGCGTGAGGTGTCTTCCCGAATTTTGATGGAGATTTAAAGGGGATGTTCGTAGGTCGATTCTTGCGTGTTTCTGATTGAATTCTGTGATTGTCTTCGTTGTTTTTGGAGGTTTAAGGTTGTATGTTACGTAGAACACCCATTGGCGTGCGAAGTGTGCATTTAATGAATGGGTTGGAAGGTGTCTTGTACGATGCTCTTCGTGTCTCTTCGAATTTCAATGGAAATTTAAAGGAGATGCTTTGTCGAAGGCAGGAGATATTAAATCTAGGTCACGTTTTCCGTGTGTTTGATGAAATCTTATCATTGTTTTCTCTGTTTTTGATTGTTTTGGGGCGGTGTGTGTGATTGGTCGGTTGTAGGTTGCGAAGAACGCGTATAGGCGTTCGGTGTGTGTACTCGGTGAATGGGCGAGAGGGTGGCACGCACGAACGTGTTTGCCTTTGGCTTTCGGGGAGGTTGAAAGGGGATGTTTGATCGAAGATCGGGTACGATGAATGTAGGTTGGTACTGTTTAATTTTTTGGGAGCGCCGTTGCAATGCTGGTCCCCGTGTGTGCACTATTGTTCGTAATTATTGGAACATATCGTATCTATCGTATCTATCAAATATGAAAACAAATTTTATTGTATTTATTATATATTGAATATACATTATTTATTAGATTCGAACAGATGGTAGTTGCATACTAAAAGTCTTAAACAATATTTAGAAAAGATCAAAGCTGTCAAACATAATTCTTGCGAGATATCAGATTTACTCATTTGTTACCTAGATAAGTTCCCTATTTTAAACACTTCAACCCTTTGCACTCGAGAGGTGACTCTCAGTCACCACTTTATTTGACACAGCAAAACTATACAGTTGAATATTTAGTATTTTAAATTAGTTTAAAGTTTGTATTAATTTATCTGTGAATTATCGTTAAATTAGTTTCAACCCATGTCGACTGTATCTCGTCGGAAAATGTTGAATATTTCCCGTGCAAAAACTTTCGAGTACAAAGAGTTGATAGTCTCAAAAACAACTAAAATCAATCTAAAAAAGATTCAATTCAAACCTTCAAACCAAGCAAAAGTCAGTATCTTAAAGTATTTCAATCATTTCCACCAGTCTAAAATATTTCTTTACAAACTAGCAAATGAAAGATAACATCTTAACATGCTTCAATCATTTCCACCAGTCTAAAATATTCCTTCACAAACCAGCAAATGAAAGATAACATCTTAACATATTTGAAGCATTTCAACCAGTCCAAAATATTCCTCCACAGACTGGCAAGTGAAAGATAACATCTTAACATATTTGAAGCATTTCAACCAGTCCAAAATATTCCTCCACAAACTGGCAAGTGAAAGTCATCGCGTCGTCCTCTTATTTTCTCGAACATGAAACGCGACGATCACGTAATGAATTCCTGATGCTGTCTGGCCGTAATAGCGTAAAGCCTCTGTTTGCATCTCTGCACGCAGCACGGTTGTGCGTTCGGTTTAGTTGTTAGTTAAAGGGTTAAACGCGCTCGATGGCGTTTGGTTGTGCGGCAACGTCGCTGGCCGGGGGTTGGATGCTTGTTAAGTAGCTGAAGTGCTGCCTCTGGTTGATGATATATTCTGGCTCGGTTTAATCAGGCAGCTCGAACGCGGAGAGGAATGTAGGTCACAGGGGTGATGAGCACCTGGAGAAAGTGCTCTATACATCTTGGAAATTCTCTCGGCAGGGTGAACCTTTCAGCGACCCTATCGTCGCTCTCTATACCCGGCGCACGTTGTTCAGAAAATGATCCGTCAAACTTTAAGAGCGCCGCCGTACTCGGCAATCCTTCGCGCATTTACGTTCGAGTGTTGTGTTTAATTTTATTCCCATTGTTGGAATCTCCGCTAATTGATCGTAATTGGAAGTTAATTATACGACGATTGTTTTGATAAAATTAATACGATCAATGCAGTAATGTTTCTTTTGAGATAATTTATTGAAGATAATAATTTTCTCTTGTAGGATGTTCTTTAAATTTCCTTACTTTAGAATAATTGTTTGTGTTGAGTGTTTGGATATCTTTTCTTGTTAGAAAAGGAATTTTTTAATTGTATTTAGATAAAGGTTTGGTTATCGAGCTTGAAAATAGAAATTTTGAACGATATAGATTTATAATTGACTTCAAATTTTCTGGGGATATTTGTTTATTAATAAATTGGACAAGTAAATACGGAAGGGATTACTGGTGGCTCGAAATGATCCTCTATACGATGGTTAATCATGATACATTCATGGTTAGAGTCGATATAAATTGACTTTAATTAATGATTTAGTATGTAAAATACTATATCTGAAATAACAGATGAAATATATTCATACAAGGCTCAGTTTTCAATTCACCGGAATACGCATTCGTGCTTACAATAAATAGTCACGGTGAGTAATGAACGGTCACGTTAGTCGAGACCTATTCAGCGCCAGGCTCGCCTAATGAATATTCAAATAAGATTTCCTTAAAAACTGAGCTTTATATGAACCAATTTCATTCTACCATTTCAGACCCTATTCACATGAAATATGTTCCTCGCTTCCGCTCTCACAAGCAATCAAATGACACTCTACTTACAATATTTTGGTCATGGACAAAAATTATTTCACCTATGACATAGAATATAAAATAGTAATTCTTGCGAGATATCAGATTTACTCAGTTTTGTTCTGAAATTACGTTGAAACTAAATTAATTTCTTATTAACAGTATTAAAATAATACTATTAATATGATTACCAAAATTGTTAATAGTACAATTATATATAATATTACGAATTATTAGCCCTCTTAGAATACCTTCTTTGAAATTTAAAATCTATTATACTATTTATACAAACATTAACCTTTTTACAATTCTCTTTCTTTCTCTTTCTTTTCTCTACAATTATTCTTTTACAATTTCTCACAAAACCACCGTTACGACTTCTCCAATCCCAAAACAAGAAACCCTAAACATCTACATTATCATCCATCCTACAATTCCATTACCAAATCATTAAACCTACTATCAAACCCAGTATCCAATCCAACGCCAAAATAAAAACCGCATACATCTCATCACCGATCCAACAGTTCCATTACCAAACTATCAAACCCAGTATCCAATCCAATCCCAAAATAAAAATCCCAAACATTTCATCACAACGGATTCAACAGTTCC